CAACATAAAATGAGTGTATTAAACGTCATAACATCAGGAGGACAACCATTCTTCTCCATTTTGCTTAAGAAATCATTTGCCTTCTCCAGTTGCCCAATTTTACAAAGCCCTTTGATCATGATATTATAAGTAATTTTGTTAGGATATTGACCACTCTGAATCATCAACGCAAACAATGCCTTTGCATCTTCCATCCTTCTTACTTTGCAAAGAGCATGAATCAATGTGGTATAAGTTACTGTGTCAGGAAGCGGACCCTGCTGAATCATCAAATCTACCAATCTAATTGCTTCTTCAATCATTCCTTCTTTGCAAAGCACATCTACCAATGTGGCAAAAGTTACTGTGTCAGGATGCAGACCTTGCTGAATCATAAAATCTACCAATTTAATTGCTCCTTTAACCCTTCCTTCTTTGCAGAGTGCATCAACCAATGTAGTATAAGTGACTGTGTCAGGATGCTGACCTTGCTGAATCATCAAATCTACCAATTTACTTGCTTCTTCAATCCTTCCTTGTTTGCAAAGCAAATCAATCAATGTGTTATAAGTTATTGTGTCAGGATGCTGACCATGCCGAATCATAAAATCTACCAATTTATTTGCTTCTTCCATCCTTCCTTCTTTGCAGAATGCATCAATAAACGTGTTATAAGTTACAGTGTTGGGATGTTGTCCTTTCTGAATCATCAACTCAAACAATGCCTTTGCTTCTTCCATTCTTCCTTCCTTGCAATGTGCATGAATCAACGTGTTAAAAGTTACTACATTAGGATGCTGACCTTCTTTAATCATCAAATCTACCAATTTATTTGCTTCTTCCATCTTGCCTTCTTTGCAAAGTGCATTGATTCTTATGTTGTAAGTAAATCTATCAGGATGATAACCTCTCTTAATCATCAAGTCTACCAATTGATTTGCTTCAGCCATCCTCCCTCTTTTGCTAAGTGCATCTATCAAAATACTGAAGGTTACTACATCAGACTGCACTCCTCCATCCATCATCTCAAGGAATAAGCCTTTGGCGGCCTCCAAATTCCCCATACAACAAAAACCATAAAGGATTGGGCTATAAGTATTCACATTTGGAAAAATTCCTCTATTTTTCATTTTCAAGAGAACCTGTTTTGCGTTATCAACCCTACCATGCTTACAGAGGCCATCAATAATGATATCATAAGTAATCACATTGGGTTGACAGCCAAAGGCAGACATGTTTCTCAACAACCTAGTCGCTTCCCCAATCTTGCCTTTCATACACAACCCCCTAATTAAAGTAGTGAAAGTCACAGTATTTGGGCTATAACTGCTCCTCAAAATCTTTCCCAAAACCAAAAAGCCATCAGAAATCCGACCCATATTGCAATAGCAATTGAGCAAGATGTTGAAAGCTATAAAATCAGGGAATAAGCTAATCGAATTCAATCTTGAGTAACAGGAAATGACATGGTGATGGTGCTTAATCTTAGCAAGCGCACCAAACAAACGATTGAATGATGAAATGGGAGG